AGTCCAACGTACGTGTTTGGCTCCCTTCTAACCAGCAGGTTTCGCCTGATGTTATTAAGGAATTCAAACATTTGTCCATCTAAATAATTCAACTCCAATTCTGATAAAGCCATGGTGCTAAAGTTTTGAGGACGTGAGATCCAGATCATATGCAACTGCATGTTTGGGGTTTAAATTAATTTCGAGTTTAAATTATGACCTATTTACATTTTAAGCACAAAAAAAAAGTTACAGGTTCAGATTCGGCTAACATGAAATTAGCTTCTAATATCTACCATATTACTGATTTTTTTTTTAGTGTCAGCCCCCGATGTATGTTAACGGAAAAGACTAGAAATTTAAAATTTTTGGATCTCAATTCACCGAGCAAAGTCAATTTTCTCACCCTGTTTTCTTAATTTAGTCTCTAAATCTGAACATAATCGAAAACTGTGGCTTTTGAGAGTGGGATGCTATGGGTTTGAGATTTCTATGCTTTTCACGAACTCGTTGAGCTTGGGAAACCACTGGGAGGAGCTCTCATGTGTTAGAAATATTGATGTGATGGATACTCGTGAAACTTTTTGCAAAAATATACAACTGTGTCTACTTCCGGTTAGGTGTCACTGTTTAGAATTGAGGTTTCATACTTTATGTTTGCCGCACCTACTCCTTTACTTTTCTTCAGATTATATGGTTTCAAGATCCATCCGTCGGCATACACGCTTCAATATCAGCAGTCGCAGAATAATGGGGGTACTAGCAATGGTTCGCCCACTGTTAACATGTCACCGTTCACCGCGAAGTGAGACACCGTGCATGCACCTCAGGCGCCCAATGAACTTGCAAGTTTGTTTTCGATTTCCATTTCCTGTGTTTAAATCCACTTCTGCGTCCCGTTTCTTCTTTTTTTTTTGCTCCTAAAAACTCGCTGCCTTTTAAACGAATCTCATGCAACAAACATGACTTGTTTTGAATTCTGCAGTGAAACAAGTAGTTGTGCACTAATTCACTGTAATTGTTAAGCGGGTGACTTCATTGTCTCTCGTTTCCAAAAGTTCTTGTGTAATCGAATTTTCTATTATTCTGAGACCACGCCTGCGTGTGTCCGGATGATCCAGGAACTGTGTGAGCTAAAATCTTAGAATTTTAGAGTATAAGTCGTTGACTTTCCATGTGAAAATGAACGTGGAAGATAACTGCAACTTGTTCAGTACAATCAC